GGTAGCTTCGGAAACTCATCTAACACACAGATGGTATCAGGTTATGAGTGTCCTGCAGGCAGGGGACATCTGCCTCAGGAGGGTTATGGCCTGTCTGAGCTCTGCTCTGCAGGGTAATCTGTCCATGCTACAGCTCTGATGCTATCAGTGTCCCTGCTGGACAACTGATATTCCATGGCGCTTTTTTTTCTGGGGGTTTGTTTCTAATCTCTCCAGTGCAGTTGTGTGATTTCTCCCCCACTGCTTTCACCCAGCCTCCACTCTCCCTCCTGCCTGCTGAGCTCTGACCTCTGCCTTGCAGGGCTGTTCTGCATGCACACAGCCATACCTGTGGCTAAACAGACCTTGAAATGCCTTCACTGTCCCAGTGTAGGGCCCAGCCCTGAGGAATACTGTTCAGGGACTTGCAGTCTCTGTTCCTACCCTCTGCTTCCACTTTTCCTCACTTGCTGGATTCTCCACAGCATTACTACCAGGGAGGGTTATGCAAATATATGCAATCCAAGGCTCATTCTGGAATAAATCAATCTAAATTAAAATTAATGAACAAAAAGTACAGAAACAGATCAAGCAATAAAGCTATTTCTCTCTCTCTTTCTCCCCTGTGTCTCTTTCTTCTTTACAAAAGCTGGGGTTTTTTCTTTGCACTTTTTGGGAAGAAGAAGATGTTGTTTTAAAACAGTCTCAGCAAACAGAAACTGCCTGTTGCTCTCCAGAAGCAATGTTAGTATCGGTGGTAATAGAAATAATTCTTAGCATTTCTTTTCTCTCTAAGATGTCTGTTTTTTTCCCCAGCTACATTCCTATGAGCCCTTTTGGAAGGGACTATAATCACTTTGATTTTGATATTATTTTAACCATAGGGTCAAAATAAGACACAATGCCACTGCTTGGCTGGTACCTATGAAGCAAAAGAAAAAAAGAAAAACAAACAATACTGTGGCCTTCTGCTTTTGCCCTGTCTCGTTCTTCCTGTTCCCTTGGCATGAAGCCCCAGCAGGCTTGGCACCCACTACCGTGCTTGCAGACCTGGCAAGCATGGATGTTGACCTTTAGCAATGAGAGAAGCTTGGCTTGCATGATTCACCCTGCAGAGCTGTTCCCCTTCTGCAGTGGAGAATGGGCTTTTGGGAAAAAGGGGAAAATCTGGCTGGGTACCACCAGCAAGAAGCAAGGTGAGCCCTGAGTTTTGCTGGCTATCCAAGGTACAAGATTGGCTATTTTGGTCTTTGTTTATGCTGTGTTTTTCCCAGCTCTACAGACTAATATGGTTCAGAGACTGTCAAGGCTTGGGTTTTCAATGACCATTTTTTGGAAATGAAGAGCAAGTTCTCACTTCAGTGAATAAGACTCGAGACAGATGGGTTCTTTAACCAGCCACATTGTACTTGGAGGACTGGTTTCTCTGGACTCTTCTCATATCACTGCCTAGTTGGCAAACCTCCTGCAAATAATGTGTTAACTCTTTACAGTCTATAATCTCTGATGTATTCCCCCATGCTTCACTCCTTAGCTTTAAAATATTCAGATGTTTATCCTTTTGCCAAAACAAAGACACACAGCTCACATGAGAGCTGCCTGCTTAGCAGGACTGACAGGGCCAGGCATTGGAGGAAGCAAAAGGGGAGCAGCAATGGGTGGAGGAGATCAATGCAACAGATGAACTCTCTTTTCTCCACAGCTAGGATTTCCATGGAGGAAGAAGAGGACTGAGACAATATCACATCTCTGTTTCCCACTCTGGTCATCAGACCCAAATGAACATCTCTTTTCTCCATTCTCCCATCTTCCACCCACCCCATGAAGGCATTAGTGACAGCACAAGCTACACAGGCTACAGCTAAATGGAGACTAGCTACAATCTACAGACTGTAGTCATCAGGGGTCATTCTCCAATCAGCACACCTTTTTGGCAGAAACACAGGACTGCTCATTCTGTTTCTCTCCCCCCTCCTCCACTAATTGCTAACACTGTTGCTATAAATGTTTTGTTGCTCTCTTGATGATCATGACTGGACTGGTGTCAGATCAGACTCCAAGGAGTGATCTGGATGCTTGTCTCTGGACAATGCATTATTGCCCCACAGAGCTCCCAAGGTTGAAGCTTAATCCTGCTGAGAAAAGTTCCTGGTTATTCTGTGGTCAGTCTTCATCATGAATCTCCTGACAGGAAGAATCATGGGTTTTGAATCCTGTCAGTCTGGATAAGTCACGGTGAGGATTAGTCTTAGTGCTAATCACAGGGGAGTGAGTCTATGTGCAAAGGGCTGAGGGCAAGGGACAATGGATGATGGAGATGGAGCTAACATCATAACACTGATAGACTTCTGAGGTTCAGCAGAACCCGCTTGGCCCTGTCCTTTTTGAGTATAATGAGGAATAAGAAAATTCTCCCTTTTCAGAAGAAAATCCCTTTTGAAAACAACTTGAGGATGCATTAAGGTCCCATCACAAAGCAAAGTTACAATGAGGACAGGAGAATGTGATTAGGTAACACCACCCTTCCAGACTTTTCAGGGCATTTTGAGTGCCCTGCTGCAAAATCAGGAAAGCTGGAAATTTTTCCAGGGACACGTCAGTTGAGAGCTGAATCAGCTGAGCTCTACCAGCTTTCCCGGATACAGCCTTCAAGTTCCATGTGTTTAGCTGAATGAGCTTCTTCTGAGTCTCTAGCCTGCCTGAAAGCAAGATGTTTCCACAGCAGTTAGCTAATGATAGCAACGCTTACAATGAGTACAGTGCTCTTCATCTCAAAACACCTTCCTTTTAAATTAATGCTCAAAGCCCTACAGGGCAGGGAAGTGTTACTGAGGCTTAGAGAAATGGAAATTAAGGGAGAAGAGGGAGGAGGCTGTGATTTTGGTCACTGAGAAAAGGCTTGTTTGAGAGCTGAGGACAGCATCTCAGAACACAAACTCATTGGGAGAAAAAGGTCTAACAAGGCAATTTTACACCTAAGGTTTCTTTGAAGATGAACAGCAAAGTAAAAGCAAATGTTGAGATAAAGTACCAATATCTGTGCTGAATGCTCACATTACAGAAGCTGGTATGAGCTTTCAGAAACCAAATGAGAATTTAAATTCTACTTTCTCCCTCTGCAAAATCCTCTTAGTGTGTCCAGGGTCAGTGGAGATATTCCTGCGTTTGGCATCACAGACTCCTGAAGACTCCTCACAGAAGTGATGTCACACTGGGATGTCCTTCAAGATGGTCTCAGGGAACAGGGAGCAGCAAAAGGATGAAACGACAACTTCAAAGGCAGAGGGGGAAGTGTGTTAAAGGACAGACTAAAGCTCTGCAGGGTGGTCTTGGCAGCTTGATTAGGAGGGGCATTTGATATGGAAATCTGGTTGGAAATCGATTGCGGTTTTTGCTTTATCATTTACCTTAATGGACTAGTAATTCAAACCCAGCAGTAAACAGGGCTGGCTATGAAAAGAATTAACAGTGCCTGTCTGTGGAATTTAAGGATATATAATAAAAATAATCATAAAAAGAAAGAGCCCTGGGTTTTCCATCAGACAAAAATATTTGTAATGGAGAATTCTGCTTAAAAGAGAAGACGCAGAATTGGAAAACTCCTCAAAAACCTACATCCCAAACAGCCTCAGCAACTTCAATTTCACATCCAAGCACACGTTTCATTTGCAATACATATGATAATGGTGTTTAATTGGATTTATTTTGCCATGCTACATTCCCAACGGCTTACTTTACTCCTTTCTTCAGCTCCTTGAATGTTATTTACAAATCACTTTCTGGGATTTCATTTTAATGGTAGTTTGATTTCTTTTTTTTTTTTTCCTCCTTTTTTAGGTGCTTTTCTTTAATTGTATTTGTGGATTTGCCTTTTAAATAGGCAATTGTGGCTACATCCTGAGCCTAAATAAGTTGCCAAGAGCAGAGCATGATTTGAAAACACGGAGTTGTTAAATGGAGCTGATGTAACACCCAGCATTTATTGTTCTTTCCATGGGAGTACCTGCAGGTGCTTTACTTGGGCAGGTGCCCTTTTACAACACAACATGGGTTCATAATAGCACTCCACCTCCAAGCTCTACATAGACGTTAACTGTTGAGGCCTCAGAGCATCCCATGAGCTGAGTATATCTCCATATGGCAGTGAAACAAAGATACTGAGGAGCTCTAGGCCAAAATGTTAACATGAATAAGGGGACCGGCTGCCTTATTGTTGATTTAGTTTCAAGCACCTGGAAACAGCCTGATTTCTGAAAGTGCTGAGTTTCTGTGCTTTTACACTACCTCAGGATCACATCAAAACCCCAAACCTCAGGTGCACTCAGCAAGCCTGGGCCATGCTGCTTGTACCTGAGGGAGGCTTGGGCAGCATGCGGCAAGGGCAGGAAGAATATTCAGGCTTTGTTTTGCCTTTGTGCCTTCTCCCTTTGCAATAAACTAGTCCATAACACTTTACTGCAGTATATGCTTTTACCTTGCTTTTCCTTTCATTCTGTCTGCTACAAAGGCAGAGCTACAGGACAGATTTAGGGGTGTATGATGAAGGAATAAGTAAAAAAAAGGTTTTCATTGGGAATAGTTTGCACAACTAGAGTGAAAAAAAATCTCCTGGCAGCAATTTAATTTCCAGCTTCTCATTCATCCACTCTACAATCCCTGCAAAATTTTAGGTCTCCTTATGCTTTTGATCCAAATCAGGACATGATGGAAGGAGTATATACGAGGGAGTCAGTCTATAGGAAAACTGATCCCCTGTGAATACTGTTCAGACCTGGATGAGGACATGGTGTCACGGATCAAAGCTTGGGAAATGGTTGTCGCTTTTTAGCTAATTGGTTTCCTGAAATGGGAGAGGAAAGAGGGAAGAATAAGGGAGGAGAAGAGAACAAATGGCATGTGGAAGAGGGGGGAAAGCCCTTATTGTCCTGCCCTGTTTTGCCCATCCCCAGCTCTTTGCATTTATCAGGATGATGGAGAATGACCCGGCTAGAGAGCTACTTTGACATAAAACATATACTGACCTGGAAAAGGATTGGGGAGTGTGGGTAAAACTCGTTCTAAGGGGGGAAAAAAAACAATAAGCAACATGCAGGAGAAAAGCCACTTTTCAACCAAGCAAGCAGCAAATACAAACCTGATGGAGTTGTCCATCCCCAAATTAGATGAGCTAGAATAGGTTGCATATATGGAGCATTTTTCTAGCAACACACCTAGTACACGTCCGCTGTGACTGGGAGTCAGAGAGAAGTCATTTGAAAAACTAAACAAATAATATCTATACAGCAGTAGGGATTAAGCACCTGCAGTGAGGTCAATTGGAATGAATGGGCCACATCTCCTCTCTGAATTTCAAGACCACTCATGCCATCATGTTACAGCTCCTCTTAGCTACACCTCTGGCTGGAAGCTAGCCTTTGGCAGCAGGATGAGTTGTAGAGGTCCTCTGTGGGTAGTTACTGCCTCCACACAACCTTCTCCACAATGGGTTTCTTGCCAGTGAGAGGTCTCTTAGGGATATGAACACTGGAATTGTCAGCCTGGTGAATCTGAATGGTATTCTGTTTCTTCTGGGCATTTGTCTCCGTAAAGGAGCAGAGCTTTTACAGATTCACCGATCTCTAGCAGCAAGCAGAGCCTGCTGTTTCAGTTACTGGGTTTTTACAGTGTGTCCTTGTTCTACATCACAGCAAGACTCTGGTATACATCACTGCTGGCTTCACGCTTTGCTTCCTCCATGCCAGGATCTCAAAAGAATTGCACAGACACTGAGGGAAATCAGCAGTCAGAGACCTCAGTCTGAGGCAGAAGGAGTGTTAATTCCATTTTACAGGTAGAGCAGGTGATGAAGAAAGCAAGGAAGCAGTCTGTCCAAGGTCAAATTCTGATCTGTTGGCAGAGTCAGGAGCAGAACCATGAATATAAGCCCACCAAACCAGACTCTACTCTGGCTCTACACTGGGTTTCTCTTCATCAACTACAGTGCTTGCTAGATGCCTTGTGCTGACTGAGGCATGCTCCTACTCAAGGGCTGACTGGGAGGCAGACATTTAGCTGCAGAAATATGTCACTATGCAAAAGCTAATAGGCCTGAGGCAATGAGTTGTCTCCTGGTTTATCTGTGAGGGTGTTGCTAAGATCACTGCTGATGTACATACAGCTTGGTAAGATACAGCTGTAGTCCACTGTTGCTCTCTGATCACCCCAGTCCCAGCTCTCTGGAAGCCAATGCTCTCTGTATAGCACTCCTGGTGCAAGGAGCTGGCTTCTGACTTGCTGGAGACCACAAGGACCTGTAACACTGTAGATCTCCTGCCTTCACAGTGGTAATGGAGCCATGGGAGACCACAGCAGGGACAGGGGGGATTGTCTCTTGTGTAGAAAATACACAGCTAGCCTCGATCTCTGTGTTTATGTAGCACCAGGGGACTATTGTTCTGTGAAAGCAGGCTGTTGTGCTGACATGACTTCCTTGTTATTTAGTTTGGTTAAATAACTCAACTCCCCTTTACCTTCTTCCCACACAGCAGGCTGCAGGCTGCACAGCATAAGCAGTTAAAGCAAAGCACTATGGCCTCATTATCACGCTGCTTTCTATTCAAGGACTCTCCCTCTGTTCCCCTTGCCTGCTGCGTGCAGCCTTTATTGCTCCACCCTGGCTCATTAGCAGTGTCTCAGCCTCGCTCCATCTGGCTGTCACCCTCACCACTTTCTTTCCTCTCCCAAGTCTCTGTTACTGACAGCCTGTGGGAATACACGGGGGATGCGCTGAGAGCCTCAGACTTTACTCCAAACCATAGCAAACACCACCACCACAAGCAGATGCTCAGGTACAAGGCAGAGTACTCTGACAACGGGTATGAGAGGGTGCCCACCAGCTAGCACTTGTGCCAGGGTGCTAACAAGCAATGGCAGGTGAGAGGCAAGCGCCAGCTCTTCCGAGGAGCTTGCCTCTAGCTGGGATTGAAACTGCTGGACCGAACTGATAACTGTACCTGAAGCACTTTGAGAGGTGGTGGTGGGATGCTGCCTGCTGCCTGCATCTAATTGGCATGGGCTCTGCCAGGTGCTGCTTCACCTCCGCTTTCCTCACTTGCTGAAGGGCACTGAGGATGCAGCAGGGCTCCTGCTGAGGTGGCAGTCTCCCATAATTGAGACAATTTAGGCAGCAGGACTGCATTGAGGTGTGCAGTACCGTGCTGTTGTCTCCTCCTTTATCCTCAGGGATAAGCTGGCTCTGCAGGAGGCAGAAGTCAACTCGTCTGGAAGGGCTTTCATTGGTTTTCTCTGCCTTGCACGATTGTGCCAGGTGCTGCAGCTGCTTCTGTGTGCCAGTGGATGAGTTTGCTTGTATATATTCATACATGTAAGCCTATGTATGCATATGCTTGTATGGCAGATATGCATCTGACATATACTTTTATATATAATTTATATATATATGCACATATGTGTACCACTGTGCAGCATGAGCTAACATATAAATTGTGGCTTTTATATCTGTAGCTTTTCATAGCACTCTGTTGGCTTAATGGAATGAGAAGGAAACAAGTTCCCTCTCTCCTCATATATCTGTGGGAAAAAACCTTTCCCTTTAGCTGTGGTGCTGCTTCTCACCTTCACTGTTCTGTGAAGCAGACTGGCTTTACTTCTGTCAGGTCACCCTCACACTCAGGAGTTCTACTGCCCATTTCCTTCGTTTCATGGCATTTTGTGCTACGAGTTACCAGCCCTGTTCCCAGGCTCTGCAGAGCCGAACCCACCTCCAGCACAACATGGTGCTGCCTCCCGGCTCCTTTGTCCATATATATTTTTCACTCAAAGGGTGGTGACGCACTGGAACAGGTTGCCCAAGGAGGCTGTGGATGCCCCATCCCTGGAGGCATTCAAGGCCAGGCTGGATGTGCCTCTGGGCAGCCTGGTCTGCTGGTTGGGGACCATGCACACAGCAGGGGGCTTGAAACCAGATGATCATTGTGGTCCTTTTCAACCCAGGCCATTCTATGATTCTATGATTCTGTGTGGGCATGTCCCTCCCTCCTGCACGGGCTCTGGTGCTCCTTGAACCTTTCCCCGAACTAACTCAGCTCCCTGCAACAGAAGAAAACATTTGGGAGCATTTAGAGGGTGGGTGGTAAAGCTCCCTTATGTTTTCACAAGTTGAGCTGCCTTGGTGTGTGGCCCACTGGTATCAGAGTATGGGAAATAACAAAAGCTTGGGGCATAGAGCAGGGGGAGTAAGAAGCAAGGAGGAGGGGATGGCAGCAAGCTATCAGATCCTCTGTATCATCAGACAGTACATATGTGTGCTGTCTGCAAACATATTCCAGATTGTTGCTGGAGACAGTACCCTGGGTAAGACAGACCCAGTATCGCTATTTGTGCGTTGCTATAAGCTCTGTCTCCAGAAGAGAGGGGTATAAATCTCTCCACCTACAGCAGGCATTCATGCTGCTACATCCTTTACGGAAGATCACTAGCTATCTATTCATACAGCTCTAGGAAGCTGCTTTTGTAATTTAATGCATCTTCTAACTATGGCATTGACATCTAAGGCACTTGGTCTCTCTGAGAGTTTTTAAATGCAGGCGGAGACTTCCTGGAATGGAAGACACCCATTTTTCTCTGTTGCTGAACTGTTCTTTCACATCATTTTGCTAGCTCCCCATCTGCCCTCCACCTCAGACAAAGCTGCCAGTACCTCATTACTAACTTTCTGCTTGTTACTGCACTGCTGACTGCCACTTTTGGTTGTTGTTGTGAGGGGTTTTTTTCACAGTGGGCCACTGTGTCTGCCTCCCTGCTGGGATGCTGCCCTACAGTGAGCTTGATCTCTATTTAAAAAAAAATTAAAATAAAAATCCTGGATTCTGTGGAAGAAAAACACTGAGTATTTGAGTATGCACTGTACCTTGAAAAAACTTGGCGTTGCTTTTCTTAATTTTTCTTATGCTTGAGTCTGTGGCTGGGATTGTACATTGCTGGTTATTTGAGATCAGTACAGCAATTTTTTCAGCTGGGCTTGCAGGTTTCTGGCCACTTCTTTACAAAGCTTGATTCCCTTCACTCACCTTCTCCCTGATTTTTTAACCTTAGGAATACCAACAGGAGTCTGCCTGAATTTAATGTTTTTCTCTTTTCCATACTAACTAGAAGGAGAATGGAGAGTTCCTGAAATAATATTACACAATTTTCACAATAGCTTTCTCCCTCCACAACACTGAATGCTGAAGAAAATGGGAATTAACTAAACAACAAAAACAGAAGTTGGAAACAGTTTGAGGAAAATCGTCTAATCTTTCTCACCTCCTGTACCTCCATTCTTCTGGCTCTTGTGAAGTTGCTACTTCACAAGTTCTCAAGTGTTTCACGGCACAGATAGCACTTGAATTTTTACTGCAAAAATGATGAACAAAATCCAACAACTTGATAGAAGGAAAGTTACCTCAACACACATTAAAAGGAGGTTAAAATAGCACCCTCACTTTATTTCCTTGTTCAAGTCATCCGTAACAGTTGCCACCTTTCCTCTCAGTATAGATACTGGCAACTCTGCAAGATCTCCTCACTTTTCTTATAGGTTCTGCCACTGAATTCATGACCATGGGTAAACCACTTCTTCACTCTGTTTCTTAGTCTTCCTACTGCAAAAAGTGCTAATAACACTCACTGATTTCTGAATAACTTGCGATGTTAAAATATTCATTGCTAGCAAATCCTTTGAGATCCTTTGAGGTGAAGCTCTCAAGTCGTGCAAAATGCTTTTCTAGCAAAACCAACCCCTGTCTAATATCACGTGTCCATACATACATTATTGAATTTCATCTTATATTTTGTTTCAGTGATGCATTCAGCTCATCTGTGCAACAGGAACCAATAGAGAGGGCCAAATTTAGAATGCAGCCACAAATAATGGATTCTAAACTTAGCATTATATTAATATCAGCAAGAACAAATCTCAAGTATCTGAAAACTGTGTTCCAGATTGCTGCCTGAGAATTTCATTTGAATCTCATGACAGTCACAAGATGAGGGTGAAAAGACCTTCAAAGTAGAAATTTGCTTTGTTTCCCTGACAAATGCAGCAGGAAATCAAATATATGTACTTTTACGATAAATCTATTCTTCACGAAAAAAAAATCCACAGAACGCACCCAAATTTTACAAGAATTCAAACTGCAATGTATTAAATCTAGAGGCGGCAAACAAAGAATGCCAATGGATCTGTACTTTTGCAGTACATCTGCTAAAAAACAAAACCAAACCAAAACACTTTTTTTTCCTGATACTTTGATTTATCTGACCCCACAACAGAGACTACATTAGACTGCCTCTCACACTAAGACAGATTTGCATAGTTTATTTTTGTTTCTGTTTAGAAGGTCATGCAGGTCGTGGCCTGAGTGCTTTAATTCAGTTTGAGATCAGCAGAAGAATACAACCCTATGTCACTTCTCAGTCTCTGGTCCATTTGTGTGAGTGGGTCATTCTGCTTCAGTCTATTTCTGGAGGCAATAGAAATGTGCAGTGAAAGCTGAGTCCAGGATTTGTGCCTTGAATACAGAACTGGGTTTTGAAAACACCATAGTGAATATACCCATGTGTGCATGGGTGGCAGGAGAAGAACAGGGGCTTAACATAGGGCAGGACAGAACCAGATGCAAAATTTGGAATCAGCAGGTAATTCTGTTTTGGGGGTTTGTCATGGCCCCAGCTTCTTTCTTCTTAAGTTTACCACAAAAACTCAGTCATTGAAAGGGAGCAATGAGATCCCAGAAAGTTGTTTCATATCTCACCTGCTGATTATCTTTTTCCCCATGTTCCCCAAGGTATGCCCCCTTAAATCATTCTGTCTTATGCTACTTCCTTCCTTCCCATTTTCTCCTGCTTTCAAACTCATTTCTCTTTTTCTTGACTCTCTTGTTCTCCTCAGGCTCAGTGGCTAGTTCTCTCCACCTCTCTGAATTACTTGTCATTTCTCAGCTGTCACAGCCCCTCTGAGCCTTGGCCTTTTCTCTGCTTGTTAAAAGGGCTTTCACTCTGAGGGAGTTTTCAGTTCCAGTCTTAAAACAAACACATTTTGATTATTTTAACAAAGTCTGACTTTGGCAAATAAAGTCAATCAAAGGGCTTGACCTTAACCTTTTAATTTGGCTGCGTTCATGTTTCACTCTGAGTATGGACATGTATGTGTCCAAAGCAGTCAGTTCTCAGCTAGAGGTTTGGCAAGGTTGACAAGCAGTGTTTTACGGACCAGTGATCCTGCATGCTTACAACACAGCCTGGTTCTTCTTTGTGAGAGTGACCTGGACCTCCCCTCACCCTCTTCTATACTTACTGTAAAGGTATAGGCTGGCATTTGTGACTCCCAGCTTGTTGGCAGCCACACAGGTGTAGTTCCCATAGTGCTCCTCAGTGACGTTAGCCACCATCAGCAGAGACTGGCTCCCCGTGCTCTTTATCTCCAGACCATTGGCACTGTTTATCCTGGAAAGATAGGAGAAGAGGAGTGCAGTGCAGTGGCCATTGTGTTTTGGGGAGGAAATCAACGCTCTTCAGACCAGCTGGCAGGTGAGGATGGAGGCAGGCAGTGAGGAGACGTGAGAAGAAAGAGGCCAGGGAAGGCACTGATGGGAAGCAGGAGTCAATGAAAGGAAAAAGGGGTGCAGCAGAGAGGAGTGCCTCTGGTAAAGCAGTGGAGAAGAAAGAAAAGCTGAGGGAAAGGGAAGAAGCCTTTGTTCAGCACTGGCTTACACTGGGAAATGAACTTACTACGACCAACTGAGGGCTAGTTCATACTTGGAACAATGATTTTTAGTGAAAAACACCAATTAATATATTTTAATATGAGCATTTACAAAAGCCAGGCCACCCCTGAGCCTGCAGACATGGGTGAGCCAAAAAACTACAGTAATAACACTACCTTCTAAATGCAATGTAAATGCTCAGGTATAAGGAACAGATCCTTTTACTCATTTTCTTATACCTCCCCTAGAAGTAGATGGCTAGATTGGAGTTACATACTTGGAGAGCAACACTATTTTTTTTATCACAATCTATTTAACACATGAACACTGGAAGGAAGGAAGCACGACTGATGTTTTAATTGTGAATTGTTCCATTACTTATTTAAAGGCAGGAGCTTCATCTTTAGCTCTCCCTTCAGCATCTCTGGTTTAGAGAAGGACTGCCTTTTCTAGTCCCAATCACACTGCCTCTGCCTGGGCTGAAGGGACAGTCTTGACTTATATAGCACACAGAGAGTAATTTGCTTGAAGAGAAGAACTGAGGATGACAGCTGATTGTCTAAGGATGCCCTAGTGAGTGGACTGAAATGTAGAGAAAGGAAAAGGAGAGTTAATGGCCTTACCTGGTGTCATCCCTGTACCACTCAAAATCAGGCGTGGGCACTGCTGATGCCTCGCAGCGGAGTAAGGCTTGTCGTCCCGTGGCTGCCTCATTGCTCTTGGACTCTGTGATGGTGGGAGGGTCTGCAGGAAGGAAACACTGGGTAACTCACAACTTCCAGATGGATGGAAAAAAAGTAGAACTGCTTCAGGAATTGGTTTCCTTAAGCAAACCATTGGTGCTGGTGGAAGACTATAGCAGCTGTATGCTGGGGCACATCCAGCCCCTGCTCCTCTGAAAAATATCTGCTCTTTGAACTCCTCTAATAACTATACCAGCATTACTCCTTACGCGTGCTTCTCTTCAGTGGCACTGAATAAGGCTCTGTCATAATTGCACAGGCATATGCAGGTAAAGTTGAGGTTAATGATAGACTCCTGTAATTCATGAATATTTACCCATGGATCTCTAGTTCACATGGCCTTATCAGAGAGAAGATGATGAGAGAAAGACTTCATCAATGGTAAAGAAAGAAAGCAGAAGCAAAAGAAAGAAAGCAGGAATTTAGCACTAGCATAAAAACTGATTTCCATACAACCTTTGCATCTAATGTCAAAACTATAATAAGAAAGGAAAGGTTGATCTTTTCTCTCAGGTAACAAGCAATAGGATGAGAGGTTATCACTTTAAGTTGAGCTAGGGGAGGTTCTGATTGGATTTCAAGAAGAATTTCTTCTCCAAAAGAGTAGTGAAGCATTGGATCTAGCTGCCCAAGGAGGTGGTGGAGTCACCGTCCCTGGTGTTTGTGAAACATGTAGATACGGCACTTAGGGACATGCTTAGTGGGCATGGTGGTGACGGGTGGACTGGATGATCTTACAGGTCTTTTCCAGCCTTAGTGACAAGATGGAGCAATGAAAAGGCAGGATTATTTCCACCTGGCTGCTAGGAGGGAGTAGGCATCTTGTCTGCCATCACCAGTGCTCAGGGACTCAGAGCTAGCTGCTGTGCTGAGGCTCAGGCCACCGCAAAGCACCCTGCCTGTGCACGGAGCACAGCTCTGCTGCCTGTGTCCATCCTGGCACAGGAAGGCCAAAAAAAATAATCAGAATGGATCGTGCCTGTCAAATAAAAAAAATAGTGCTGTCTGGAAAACGCACTGAGAGAAGTTTGTTGTGAGCGCATTAGCCAGCTCAATGTGATCCCTTTCCTGACCTTAATCGGGATTTTATGCAGGGCTTTAGGGATATTGCAGTGCGCCCTCTAACATCATAAATATTAATAAGTGTACAGAAATAGGATCCTGCATTCAAAGGCTGAGGGTTCACGTAAATATTTTAATTCGGGAAGGAGGAGGGGTAATAAAAGGATAACGAAGGTGATTTTTTAAGCCTCCTTCTCCAATTTTTTGTACAAGCCGTGTACCCTGCCGGCTGCTGTGAGAAAAGCCTTTTCCACTTCACTAAACCCAGAGCGCGCGATGAGTCATGCCATAAACAGAACCATTCGGTGGGCCCAGGAAATGCAGCCGCTCCGTATTCGGCCGGGGAAGCCAGGAGTGGGCTTCCTTCGCTGCTCTCCCTCCTCGCTTCCCCAGGCCTCAGTTTCCCATCTGCAATGTGCCAGGGCCATTACTCAAGAAGCCTGAAGGTGGTGGTGTGAGACCGAAGCAGAGACACGCTGCTTTCTCCTGCAGTCGGCTGACAGCCTGCAGCCTCCGAGAGAGATCAGGTGATAAGGGATGGCCAGGGAGCTCCTCACTTGGGACAGGTCCCATTTTTCAATCTTACTGTGATTTTCATTGCTTCTACTGCATGTGTAGCTTAAGAAAGCAAGATAAGGAAAGAAGTATGCAAATATCTGGATTTCATCCCCCAAACAGGACCAATTTTTTTTTTTTTTTTCTGTGCATCTCATGACCTCTTTGAATCTATCCGTGTGCTTGGCAACCTTTTGGTCCTGCAGGAAATGATCATTTGCTCACATTACACATTAGGCCATGTACTAATACTGCAGTACTGCATCAGATCTTATTTTCATATTCCATGAGAAAAAGGATCTCACTCTAGCACTCCAGTAACTAAGTTGAAACAAAGTCAAAACTGTACGTAGACTTTATCCAACCATGCTAAATACAGCACTGAAATTATACTTCATAGAAATATCTGAAAATACTAATTGCTTTTAATGGAACATCTCGGGTTTATAAGCTCAGTTGTTTTTGACAACAAACCAACAAAAACCTACAAACAACAAAGCAAACCACATATTTCACACATAAAACAAAAACTTTAGTTCACTGTATCTGCTACTGCAGTTTCACACTAGTGGGTTAAACCTGCCCATGAAGCAGCCTTTACTAAACTCCCACCATCCAATTTTCATAGAATCACAGAATGGTTTGGGTTGGAAGATCATCTAGTTCCAAACCCCCTGCTGAAAGCAGGAACACCTAATTCCTGCCGAAGTGGTTTGGATTGCAAAGATGCTGTAGGGACCCCAAAAGCAATGCCTGCAACCTTGACTTCTAAAGTAAGGCAGAAAAGTTGACATGATGTGATGGGCTCAGAGGGAAAGGAAGAGCAAGAATGGCACAAAGATGTGTTAAAACCACATGTGGTGGGAAATGAGAGAGGGATGGGCAAAGCCACTTGTTGCTGCCAGGTATGCCCCTACCAACTCACAGGGGGTGCTACCTATGAATCAAGGGCACGTGTGCACATGCTGACTCATGCCTGTAACCACCTGAACTGCAGCTGAAGTTAGTGCTCTGGTGAGTCACCTGAAGAAGGTCAGGAGAGGGTGTACGTCACATTCATCCATCCTTGCTGCAGAGCTATTAGCTTCCAGTCAGGGAAACAGAGCAGTCAAGTGGGTATATTCCTACCAAATAACTAGTGCCAAACATGAGCCATACACATATGGGGGTGGTCATACACACATACAAGGCTATAGGAATGACGGCGGTCTGACATATGTCACTGCAAGGGCACCTGCAGGAGGAGGTGGATCCGCCCTCTGTGTGTGCATGCACAAAGTGGTCCATGCCCTGCTCAGCAGTGCATCACCCAGTGAGGATTCACAGGAGCTGGAGTGGGATGTAAGTCACATGGCACTACTTCTGAGTGCTCTGAGATGGATAGCAGGCTCCTTTCGCCAAACATTTTTTCTGTACTGCATTGACGCACAGAAGGCTTTTTTCACATGACCTGAAACCAGCTTAAAAGTCATGTTCTGCCCCCTCTCACTAATGGTGCCTCTACCATGCATTCCCTCAGGCCACTGGGGCACGATGCCCACGTAAGCGCAGCCGAGTCAAATGGATGCTCGCTCTGAGCTGGCTGAACCTTATCTATTCTTGCTGAAGCCGCTCTTCATTATGCTGTTATCTCAAATATCAATAAGTAAAAACACGGCATGGCCAGGACGTCTGAGGGAAGTGACAGGGGCAACACATTGAAACTTCTTGTGAAGCCCCATCTGGAGTACTGTATCCAGGACTGGGGATCCCAGTACAGGAAGGACATGGAGCTCTTGGAGTGGGTCCAGAGGAGGGCCACTAAGATGATCAGAGGGCTGGAGCACCTCTCCTGTGAGGAAAGGTTGAGGGAACTGGGCTCGTTCAGCTTGGACAAGAGAAGGCTCCAGGGAGAGCCTTCCAAGTGTGGCCTTCCAATACTTGAAGGGAACATATAAACAGGAGGGGGTACGACTGTTTATGAGGGTGGATAGTGATAGGAAAAGGGGGAATGGTTTTAAACTGAGGTTTAAGTTAAATATTAGGAGGAAGTTTTTCACACAAATGGTGGTGACACACTGGAACAGGTTGCCCAGGGAGGCTGTGGATGCCCCATCCCTGGAGGCATTCAAGGCCAGGCTGAATGTGGCTCTGGGCAGCCTGGTCTGGTGGTTGGCGACCCTGCACATAGCAGGGGGGTTGAAACTAGGTGATCATTGTGGTCCTTTTCAACCCACGCCATTCTGTGATGATTCATCTCTCTTTTTTTCTCCCCTTTTCTTACATATTTTGATATTTAAAGAACAAACTCCACCCTATGGTAAGAGCCTTATAGCTCCCCCCCATTTCAGATCCTTTAACATGGACCTGGAGGACACCTCCATTTACCCCACAGCCACCCTTGCCCATGGGCAAGGATTGCTCTCCTGCGAGGTACTCACAGTTCACAGTGACCCGGACTTGCTTGACATCTGCTGAAGCGACCTCGTTGGCAGCTTTGCACTCATACTTGCCCGACTGCTCTCGTGTGATCCCCAAGATCTCCAGGTACTCCTCCTCACCTTCAAACTCCCTTCCTGCAGAACAGAAAAATACAGGTGATGGCTCTCTGGTAGGCATACAGACTGGGGAAGCCTTCTGCTTAATTGCTATGGAGGAACAATCACAACAGCGATTCTGCAAATAAACAACAGCCACTGAGGGAGCTATTTCGAGGTTATTTCAGACGCTGTATCAGCAAGATATTTGCATTTCATTTAGTTATCGAAAACTCAGGTTCAGGAAATTGAGAAGGAAGCACAAGTGGTAGTACAGTGTTGCACAGGCTGCCCAATAGACACAATCTCCATCATGTGAGGGTGGACTGAGTTCTGTGGTATGACTGAGAGAAGTCAGCCCACTGATGTGCTTGACCAGGGGTGGCTGGTTCCCCAGATATGCTGGTACACTGTCAGCAGCCCTTTCATCACTGCCAAACTGGGAAAAATGTCTTTTTGCCTCTCAGAGCAGCTGCCACCCTGAAGAGCCATCGATCAGGCCGTGCTACATACAGTTAAACACATCCAAACTGAGAAATCAAGTGTCATTTGATCCACAGAGCCCAATAATCATTACGAATCCTCCATCTACGGTACATGAAATGACACATTTAAGCTGTGCTGCCTCGCTAGGACAGCTCTGAAAGCTGTGACTTGAGAATCAGGACAGATTTCCCCTCATACCCCCTCAAAGAAAACATCAACACAACAAGGACTCCCTTTCAGGCTTCTAGGAGAACAGTCAGATTTTCCAGTGAAACTCTGCCCAGGAGACAATTTCTGCTCAAAGGGTGCTGAGCACTTCTGAAATTGTGCCCACTTCCCATTAGTTTGACGGAGCTCAGCCAAGGCCCGGAGGACAGGGCTGCTCCTCGGCTCTGCAGCACTGCTTTAAGCCCCTCTTCGGAGCTCAAGTCCCCTATAGTCACCTGCAACAAATCCTACCACACAGACACTTGGCTGCTGCAGTGTATAAGCCTGGGCAAGCTGGGTGCACCACACACACAGAGTGATTTGACTTCTGCACTAGAGATAGGAACTTGAGCAACTTCAGAATCTGCTCAGAAATCTGTCCATCACACCATTATTTCTGCCCTTTTCTTTTCTCCAGGCAATTTTCAGAACCGTTCTAAGGGAAAACCATCCCCTGTCATGCAGACACACAGCACATGCATCTTTTAAGCCCATAGGAAGACAAGCTTTCCCCTTTCTTTCAGTGATCCCTCCTCCAACTCCTACCAGATGTTCAGATGAGTGGATACCTCATTGGTAAATCTCAAATTTCCAACTGTTCTGATGCAGGTTTTCTCATCCCTAGCAGTCGGTTGAGATGCCTTACAATGACAGAATCATAGAATCACCAAGGTTGGAAAAAACCTCCAAGATCATCCAGTTCAACCATGTACCTATCACCAATGTTTCCCCACTAAATCATGTTACTTAGTACAGCATCTAAACTTGTATGTCTTTCTGCATGGCAACACGTATTTTACAAGGCAATCCATTGGCAAAACCCTGCCAGTGCTCTGACACACTGCTTCAATCTTATGCTGGTGCTTATGGACAGCCAGGGCAGAGTTCCTGGAGGAAGAAGTAGGGCAGGATTTGCATAGGTATTTTTCAGTGGGGTAGCTCATGAATAAGTCTGAGAATATTAACTCCTGTAGGAGCAGTGCTAGGCCAGTCCTGGTACGGGAAGGAGCTTCAGTGCCCATCAAGCCCATTCCCATACTTCAGCATGACACAAGGGTTGTTTCTTGGTGACAGCCCTGCCCTGCCCTCCAGTGACAGGCTGCGCAGTCTCTCTGAACAGGCTGTTCCTGTGCTTCCCTGTCCTTGCTGCTGAAACCATTTCCTTGCAGCCTGACCAAGTCTTCCTTGCTTCAATTTAAGTCTATTATTTTTGTCTTTGCCACCTATTGACAAAAAGAACAAATACTCATTCCCTCCTTCTCTGCAATAGTCTTTTATCAACTTTAAATCACTTATGCTCTTCCCTTGATTGCCACCAGGTTGTTTTTTTTTTTGGCTGAATAGTGCCACGTCTTTCAACCTTTCCCTATTGGTGAGGTTTTGTAGACCTTATTCATTCCTGCTCTTTCCGTTTAGATCTCTCTGACAACACCCTAAACTGTACACAGCATTTCAGATACGAAGCATCACCACAGCTGAACATAGGCAGAGAACTGCAACACTTCTGCACTGTGGTGCTGTCTGTATAGCCAATACATCTGGTGTGTTTCTGCCATAGCACGAATCATTTTTGGTTGGGAGGCTGGGATCTCCTCTAATTCCCACATCATCTTCTAACACGCTGCTGCCTGCTAATAATGCTCTTTGAAAATGCCACCCTCAGTCCGAGCTGACAACCACTACTCCACTCCTCTCACAGCAGCACTCCCAGTTGGTAGGTCAGCCAGTTGACTGGAAAGTTAATTGGACATCCAGGAAAGACTTACAGGGAAAAGGTTAAAACATAATTTGCCTCTGCTTTGCAAATCATTTGCTCTGCAGTTCTGCCTTGTTTATACACAGGGCTCATTCCAAGTGGGACTTGCTTCTCCTGCAATTTGCCCTTGTCAGAAGACTGTCACTGTAATGAAAAAAGGGTTGAGGGTGACTTACCAGCTCTAATGGAGTGGCACCCTCATTAGGGGTGCTGCTAAGTCTGTCTATCAGAGCACTGCATTGTAGGGGCTCCAGAAAGTATCCCAAGAAGTGCACAATTTCCTAAGTGAAGATATTTTTCAGCTCCTCTCTGATATATACGCATGCACTTAAAACCATGTGCTGTGTCCAGCAGAAGGGCTTCCAGCAGCAATGTGCAGCCCTTACCAGCAGGTGATTCATATGAGGGGCTGCTGCTTTGCCCAGTGGAGCTCTACCAGCATGTGTGAAAGGGAGGCTTCTGTGTTAAAGGAAGCTGAAGATACCACCAAGCCTACTTAGCTCCTCATTCCTCTGCCCGAGGATGCAGATATGAGCATACCACTTCAGGAGAAGTTTCTGTGATAGGCTGTCTGAAACAGTGGTGGTGGTATCACTGATCCTGTCCCTGCAGCAGTGATCTGTTTCAACCCTGGGCATCAACATTTTCCTAAAACAACTTGGTTAATCCCATTGCAAGTAGGACCCGTTTGCTTGCAGCCCTGTTTCCCTAGAGTACATTAACCATTCGTAACAAAGAGCATTTATATAAAATTGAGGTGTCATAGTACGCATCAGAGAGAGAAAAAAGATATATCACGGTGTGTTAGAAAAATGTCAGGTTGTGATATCTTGCACAGAGCTGTAGAGATGTTTTCACTAATTCACCTTGGCAGCCAGATTAGGTGAGTCATATTAACTCTAACCTCCAAGGCAAAGCGAGGCGGGGGGAACAGAAACACAGCTCCATACACAGAGCGAATTTACAAATGTTTCAGCGCAGAAGCCAGCTTTGGCAGGGAGCTGATGGTTGTCACGTTGCAGTTTATCAAAGCGGGGAGGGAGAAGGTTGGGGCAGTGCTCTCTGGTGCATACAACAAAGAACATACTCTGTTAGGCGAAGAGCGGGTCTGCCAGCTCGTGGCAAGTGAGCTGCTCTGTTCCCCACTGACAGAAAACATCTGCCTTAAGTGCACTACCCAGGGGAACAATCCTGGCCTCACTGCCAAAACCGTCCTTGCTCACAAGGGCTGTCCCCCAGCTGTGTTGTCTTTTTTGGGGCAACTCCTTTGCTGTGAGGGGCCTACTGTGTGTCTCCTCTGCCTGCCTGCCTCAGCCACATTTCATATCCCCTGGGTTCATAAATTAAATCATGAACCCTAACAGCAAGCCAGCCCTGCAGTGCCAGCCTACTGGCAAGAAGCATCCTTCTCCGCAGCCCATGGATGTGCCCTCATAGAAGCCCCTATCAGAAGCCCCTCTGTATATTATCCCCCAGTGACATGCACACCTGCCTATGCTCTCATCCATGCTGCCAAATCACACTGTGCATGCAGAAACACAGACTTGGACTTTCCCCATGTGTTTATGGACATTTTAGAAATGGGTGCACTCGTAGAGGTGGCAACCATGCTGTGTGCCATCCTCTCCTTTTTGTGCCTCCCACACTGGGCTCCTCCTTGTGCAGAAATTTCCTCAGTGCACTTCTTTTTTTAATTCCGTTGTGTTTTTCTATTAAACTGAAGCTCAAGCTCCATGAAAGTATCTGTTTGCATTTGGTATGTGCAAAAAGAGATCAGATGCTCTGCCTCTGTGTGTTTCTTCCAAGTCCCTTTGTAGTTGTGAAGAGGGGTGAGCAGAAGGGGCTATGTGTCCTGGCTGGGCTCTCCTCTGCCTAAAACAAGATGTAAAGGGATGAAAAAGGAGTGCAAATCAATAAATGCCATTTGAAGTGATGTATTTTGTGTGTGGCAACTTCCAATGCTGAAGTTTTATTCCCTCTGCACTGTCCATTTACTGTTGAAGGTCTTGCCCTCTTAACTTTCTTTCTTCCCTCTGTAACTTGTATTCCCTAGAAATAGTCTTCTAAAAGCCAAAAATAGCCACAGGAGACTTAGACGTCATTTTCTTGTTTTACATCTAGCTGGGATTTTTTTTTTAATTCAAAACTTTGAAGTTTTCATTTATCAGCCTCCGTCTCCTCACCCATCACAGATTCCAATGAACTTGGCAATTTTTCTGTCCCTTAGCTGAAGAAGCTTGTTTTTAGCAAAGAGATCAGTGGAGAGCAGCAGATGGTAGATGAGCAAAGGGACCGTCAGTGCTACAATGCTACAGCAAGGAGGGAAGGTAGAAAAATGAGCATGGCACAGGATACGGAGAAAAATAGATGGAGAAAATGAAAGATAATAGAGAGGGAACAAAGAGAGGGACAGAAGCTGAAGCTGGGAGAGGGAAATGGAAACAAAGTGAGATTCTTCAGGGACTGAGAAAAAGAGAAAATGGTGGCCAGCTACAGACACAGAGAAATGCATTGAGCCAAAGAGTGAGATATAAAGGCAGGAAGAGAGATGGTGGCGAACAGAGATGCACAGTGCAGAGAGGCACAGGCT